GTTAATTTATATTACGATTGTTTTGGCTCTTTGATTTCCCTCTAGACTTTAAAATATCTTGTAATTTTTCTATTTTAAAAAGCCTAGAAACTTTGTTGATACAGTCTTGAATCCATAAATTAATTTGGAGATGATAAATATCAGTCTTTACTCTTTATGAATATAATGTGTCTTTCCATTTACTTATGCCTTCAGTTACTTTCAGAATTGTTTGTATGTTTTATATACAGATCTTAGATATATATCACTAAATTTGTAAAATTTTTTCAATTTTACTTTCCAAATGTCATTGTCAGTATCTAGAAATGAAGATCAAATATATTGATCTAGTATCCTGAGACCTTATTAATTTATATATTATTCATAATATACTGTTTGTACATCACTTAGTATTTCTATGCAAATGGTGATATTACCTGTAAAGAAGAACTGTTTCATTTCTTCCTTTCTAGTATGTCTGTTATATTTTTTCTTGACTTATCCCACTGGCCAGGAGTATAAGTACAATGTTGAGTAGAAGTGGTGATGTAGACATCTTCCATGGTATGCTCCTGAAGTCTATATTGAAAACTTAGCCAAATCATAAGCAGTAAATGCCCAAGACAAGACTTATAATACCTAGAAAAATGTGGCTACTGGGGAAATAAGAACTACTGAGAACCTGTGAGCTGAACACTTCCAGAGGTGACATGGAAGTAGAAAACAATAAAGGATTGACACAAAAGAAGTGGAGAGACCTTCGAATAGCCTGAGAATGCAAAAACAATCCTGTAACGCTAGCCCCAATGGTTGATGACCTGCTCTCCTCACTATAATGAAGAGCCAGAACTGTCCTGGTACACTGTTCTCTAAGCTGTCTTTTGATGTTTTAAATACTTTCCAAAGTAATAATTACTTTTAAATATGTCACATCTTAGAATTTAGGAAATGCTCAGTCAGATTCTATAATAGCTCACCCCACCTCTTTGTGCACACCTGCTCCCATTCTTGGTACAACAGCTATGGGAAATGCTTAAATGTTCTTTCTTAATATTAAGGGTATAACTGCACATTAGGATTACAACATAATGTAGACAGATGTAATTCAGGGATACAAACAGAAACTTTCAAAATTAAGGGATGATACTCAGAATAATAATAATGACTAGATTTGAGGGTTATATCCCAAAGAGAATACTAAGAGTACCAATATAATTTAAGGTTAACATGATTCATAAAAGCCCTAGAATACACATTACTGGGAATTGTGCTTTGGCGAGAGCAAAAAAGATTACTTAATGTTTTTTCTCAGCTTTGTAAATACTGCATTGCAATAATAAAAATAATAACAACAACAACAACAACAACCAAAGATGAACTCTGAGTGTTCTGCCTTGCCAAGAATAACAGAAAGACACTTATGTTGTCAATCAAAGCATAAAAATACAGCAAACTGGGGTTCAACTCACATGCCTTAGAAGCCAACTTTTTTTTTAACCAGCCATGTGGTCTCTCTGGCTTCTCTTATCACTTTGGACTGTTTGGAAAGTAATTTATTTTGAGACACTTTGGACTGATGCATAGACTCAGTTACATGGCTACCTCACACAATATGTTCTTTGGGAGTTGAATCAGCACACATAAAAGGAGTCTATTTGGACTAGCCTTTCTGTCTGGTCAAGTCATCAGTACAAATAATTAAGGACAAGGTATCAAGAACAAAGATGCACAGTAGTGAAATTTTGAGGCATCATTGCCTTAATGCAAAGTTTGTATGGTCTTTCCCTGACATTTCATGCGTCAGCTCAGCATAGTGCATTATACACTCATATGGAGGCCAAGATATAGTTTGAGAGTCTACTGAAATCTTTGAACCTACTCTCTAGCTGAAGTATCTCTTCTTTGAAGTTACAGAGTCATCAAAATTGAATGGCTCTAAGAAGTTAAAAGATTATGGAAATAGAGTAAAATTGGCAGGACAAAGAAATTTATCCAATAAGTTTTCAAAGGAAAAATGAATCTAAAGTGGGTGACAGCAGCTGGGCCATAATGTCCAGAAGATCAAAGATCCAGGAAGTAAAAGATGGAAAAGGTTGCCCAAGTGAATAAGTGGAAAATGGAAGGGTGGCTAGGGAAAATATTCATTTTTAAAAGTTTTATTGGTACGTTTTTGACATACATAATGATCACATTCATCATAGGAAATTTGTATCTGTACACAATGTATATTAATTTTTTTCCCAACCTTCTTTCCCTTCAATCCTTCTTCCCCTCCATGTTTATAAAACTTTGGTTCTATTGTTTTCTTTCCATTCTTTTTTATTCCTATTCTCTTCCTTCCCTTCTCTCTCCCCCCTTCCTTATTCCCCTTCCCATATGAATATTTTCTTCCTACTTTCCAATACCTTTCTCCATTTTGATTCTTATTTATTCTTTGTGTTTCTCACACAAGAAAAATAATGTACCATTTAAACATGTGTGTCTGATTTATTTCACTTATAATTACGTTCTGAACGTGTATTCATTTACCTAAATGTCTCAAATTTATCCTTCTTTATGGCAACGCAGTACTCCACTGTATATAAAAACCACATTTTCTTTATCCATTTATCTGTTGATGGGCATATGGGCTGTTTCCAAGATTTAGCTATTATAAATTGTGGTGCTGTAAACATAAGTGTGCATATATTGCTGTGGTATGATGTTTTTAATTCTTTTGGGAAGATACCAAGAAGAGAAATAACTGGTTCAAACTGAACATCTAGTTTTATTCTTTTGAGAAATCTCCACATTGATTTCCACAGTAGTTGCACCAGTCCACACTCCCACCAACAGTGAAGAAGTGTTCATTTTTCCCCACAGCCCCACTGGCATTTGTTATTGGTTGATTTCTTGACAATAGCCTTTCTTTCTGGATTGAGATGGAATCTCAGCATTGTTTTAATTTGCATCTCTCAAACGATCAGTGATATTGAACATTTTTTCATATATTTATTTGCCATTTCTACCTCTTCATCTGAGAAATGTCTGTTCATTTCAGATGCCCATTTTTGAATTGGGTCTTCAAATTTGGGAGGTCTGATTTTTTCAGTTCTTTAACTTTTCTAGACATTAGTCATTTGTCTGAGGAACAGATGGCAAAAATTCTTTCTCACTCTGTGGGTTGTCTCTTCAATCTGTTGGTAATTTATTTTGCTGTGCAAAAGTGTTTTAACAAGACAAGATCTCAGTTGTTAATTCTTTGTAATATTTCCCATGCAATTGAGGATTATTGCTTCCCTTTCAGTTTCATTAAAGAGTTTGAGAAGTAGTGGCATTAGGTCTTCTGTAATAGAAAAGTATTATCCGGGGCTGGAGTTTTACTTTCTCACACTAATAGGACATGAATCAAGGTAAGAGTAAGCAGTTGCATCCAATTCAATTGAAAGTAAGCTGATCTGACCTGAACTACATGGACATGAACTAATTGAACTAGATTAACATAAATTTTATGGGGTTGTACAACTTCCCTTTAGAAACAGATAATTTTACAGGTAGACTTATACAACTATAACATTCCAAAACCACAATGTTTTTACTAAATTATTTTTAATTATTTAAGTTTGGAACAGACATTGAAAAGTTTTAAAGTTTGTCCTCTTGATATCGAAATCATAGCCATTTCAGTGTTTTAAAAAATTAATCTTCTTTACACACACACATACACACACACTCACACATACACACGCAGTTTTGGCCAATGAAAAATAATTCTAGTTCATTCAAGAGAAAGCTTGTGCCCCTGCTTCTCTCTGCTTGTATTGATTCAGAAACTTCCTATAAGGCTTCATGATAGAAAATAACTTTATAAAAGCAAGAGCACAAAGATGGATGAGTCAAAAAAATGAGATGTGAAAGGAAATTATAGAAATAATGAAACAGATAATGAACCAAACAGCACTGTAGATTTTGTATATAAAATTAAACTAAGGAAAGGAATAGATACAGTTAACTGGATTGATGGAATGGAAGCATCAATGAAATTATCATAGGCAAAAGATTTTAGTAATGGGGCAGATAATAATTATGAAAGATAAAGACAATCTTGGATAAGGACAGTTGTTATTCCAAAAGTCAAGAATTTGCACAATGCAAAGATACACCACAGTACCAAAAATTTTACTGAAATGATGATTTATATCTAAAGCTTAAGAGAGAATTCTGTATACTAGGAAATGATGATGCAGAATTACATTTTTTCACATATGAATGTACTTCCTAACATTTTAATCTTTTTAATTTAAAAGTGTTTTTTCTTCATATTTTTATTAGTACATGTTTGCAGTATACAATATTTATATTCCTTTTGTGGAGTTGGTGCAGTTAGTTTAAAACTACTCTAACTTGCCAAACTTTTAAAATTTTACAAAGGATATGTTTCCTATATGTAAGCATAAACTGTGAGCCAACAAGGAGGGAAAAAACGTTCAAGAGGACAAAGAAGCAAGTTCTATGAGAACAAGTGTTAGACCCAAGTATATTTAACTCAGCCGAACTACCATTCAGGGAAACTGGTGAAAAAGCACATACCTCATATAGGAGAAATGTAAAGGACTGTAGGGTCCACTGAAGACTACTTAGTAATCATAAATAGCCAATAAAGTGATTTTTAAAGAAATTAAGAACCAAAAAACTCATGGAAACTCATGGAAAACTCATGAAATCATATTAAAATAAAAACTTGTGGATAGTGAGTCAGAAGAAAATTTAACAATTGGAAGAATTTTCGTTGCAAAACATAAGAGTTATGATCCCTAAGGAAGTAAAAATAATAACAAAATAGGAAGGTAGGAGGATTAAAGGAAATGTGATAATACCTACTGCTTTTTGATAACAGTGAGGCAATTCATATTAAAACTGAAAATGCCATGTTAAAAGCAAGTACCCAATTTAATTATTTTCATATATTTATTTTATTAAAACATTTAAAAAAGTAATAGTTTCAGTACATTAGAAATTTTATCTCAAGGTTAAGATTCATTTCTGTTTCCATTTTAGAGTCAAATTAAATGTTATATGATACTTAGGTATGATCCATCTTATAAAATAAGTCCCATTTTCTTCTTTCTGATACTCCATAGTTTTGTTGTATTCAAGTATTATTCTTCTTCCAAGAATTTTCTTTTACTTGCTTCCATTCATCACATCAGCTCTATCCTAATAAAAGATAAAATTTAGTATTTTCCATCTGGGGAATGGTGGTACATGCCTGTGATCTTGGTGCTCTAGTAGACTGAGGCAGAAGGATCACAAGCATGAGCCCAGCCTTTACAACTTAGTAACTTAGAAAGATCTTGCCTCAAAATTTAAAAAAAAAAAAGATTTAAGAAAGGGCTGAGTACAAAGGCCTGCATTCAATTCCCAATATGGCAAAAAGAATTATTTTCATGGTCCGGGGATTTAGCTCAGTAGTGCCAATACCTGCCTCATCAGCACAAGGTCCTGAGTTCGATCCCTGGTACCAAACCAAACAAAACAAACAAATAATTATTTTCATTATTATTTGTTGCAAATACATTTTTATATGGTTTCTCCTTTAAGTCATGAGTTGTTAAAAGTTTTGTTTTTTTTTTAACTTTGTGCACATGGAATACTCTAGCTCTCTTTTTGTCATGTATTTGCTTCTGTACTTGGGTGGCTGAAGCAGGTTAGCTGTTCTTATCCATGAGGCTGGTTGTTTATAACTTGGAATATGCTATGCAGATCCAATCATGATAGGTGGAGTTGGGAAAAGATGGCTCACTATACTGTAGCTTCAAAGCCCAAGACCTTTTCATATGACTTAGTCAAGGAAGCCTACAACAGAAATGCCAGCATGTTGTTTCTGGTTTGAATACTCAACTTTGCTTGACCACCACCTTCAACAGACAACCGTGAGGTATGGGTAGGGTGAGGTTTAAACACCAAAACTTCCCACTGAAATTCTTTACAACGTTAAATTCATCTCCTTAAATTGATAGCATAGATGATTGCAACCAATGCCCAGAGAGACCAAATGAATTACAAAAGGTTACAAAATCATTCAGTGAAGTAGCAGAAAATAGACAAAGTTTCTAGCTTGGGAATATTTCCAGATTCTGTATTGAGTTTTTAGCTTCTTTAATATATTCTCAATTTGCTTCCTTCATAGAACACAATTTTCTGTACCATCCTCTCTGATATAATTCTTAAACTGCATTGATACAGAAAGAGCAAAGAGTTTGGAGTCAGAAGGAAGTGAGTTTTAATTCTGCTACTCTCATTTATTTGTTCTATAGCCTAAAAACCTTAGTCTTCCTGAGCGTTAATTTTCTCCTGTGTAAAATAATGATAAGAACAGTTATTCCAGGGGGGCTTTATAAGGTCAATCAAAAGCTTCTTAGCATAGTGTCTGGCACATAGTAGATAATAAATAGAAAATTATTTGTTATTGTTAATATTAGTGTTTTATCTTGACACATTTGGCTTTTGCTCTACCATGGCATTCATTTTCATTAAGGGAGCTTTCATCTGATGTGTTTGTGTGTGTGTGTGTGTGTGTGTGTATGTGTGTCTATGTGTGTTTGTGTGTGTTTAATGGGGCATTCTCTGGGTAGACATACATTTTTTATTTATTGCTCAGGATGGTACTTACTACCCTGGGGATGAAAGACTAAGAAATGGTGATCAATATTATCAAGTGATAAACGAACAGTTGAAAAATAGATTGGAGTTATTCCAAGCCCGAGTTAATGCTCGTAGCTTGTTTATAACTCATTAGTCTGCTCAGACGTAGAACATGAGTTACGGGCACTGGATGCCAGGCTCAAGATCATGGAGTTCTGCTCTGTCTTGGAGCACGCCATTTCAGAAGCCATTCACCAGTGAGCATGTTAAGAGGCCCAGTCACTGGCCACTGCACAATTAGCGTGTCTCAATTCTCCATCCCAACTTTCTGTCCTCTCCCTCTGTGCTTGCCTTTGTTGTGCTGCCTCTCCTTTCATATTCCCTTGGGCATTTCTGACTAATTTCTGGAAAGTTTGAGATGGGACTATATTTTGAAAGTTTAAGGGATTTTGTTACTCTTCTATTTAAATCATCAGACAAAAAGAGCCCTGGGTAGATGGGTGGTTTTCTTTACTAAAGCCTGTCAAGTCTATCCAGTCTGATAGGATAACATGTCAACTTAAAAAAAAAAAAATCACTTACTCTCATGATTCTTGGGAAATGAGAAGAATAAAAGGTTTTGGGATCCAGCCCATGAGATCTGAAAACCACAGATGTGGAAGCTTCAGGAAACTCAGCTTGAAAGATACAGTTATTATTAAAGGGCCAGTCAGTATAATACCCCTGGAACTTCAAGGGAGAGATGGAGATGAGAACTGTCATTTCCCAAATGATAATAATGTGGTTTCAGATTTTTAAATATGTTACCATGAAATCCCTGAGTTTGGTGTGTTACAAGCAAGCCTTCCTAAAGGGCACTTTGAGCAATCATGGGAGATAATAGAGTCCATATATGAATATCAACTTTAAAACAGACTGAGATCCTAATCACATGTGAACATTTACTGAGTAATCAATATTAGCAAGTTATTTTTTCATACATAAGCTTCAGCTCCTCGTCTGATCATTGGAGATATTTAATCCCTGCTTCACAAGATTTTATTTCTTTGTTTTTAGGATTAGAGGAGCTCACGTGTATAAAATATTCATCACAGCAAATGGAACTTATTAAAAGCTTAGTAAATTGTACGTTTCTCAGGTGGTGGCAGACACACACATGCTTGCTAAGTGAAATTAATCAAATATTTATTAAACACCAAGTCTGCACCAAGTCTCTTTGCATCTAAGCACAGAGATTAAAAAGATGCAGTCACTGCTTTTGTGCTATTCTCAAGATATTTCCTGCTAATGTGTCTTGTTTTGACCACTTTGTTTTTAAGTCCAAGACACAGATCATGTTGAGTGAAAGCCCCACAAGAGCATGCATATTTTACATTAGTGTATACCCAGGATCTGGAAGAGTGCATATACTCAACAAATTTTCTGAGAGTCTATTTGTACTAGATGTTGTTCTTGGCATTTGGGATACATTAGTATGCAAAAAAAAAAAAAAGCCTGCCCTCAGGAACTTGCATTCTGAGTGAAAGAAAGAAGCTACTTAATCACAGTCATCAAAACTTTTCCATAGTCCATTTTTTGACTTGTGTATAGAAGATTACTCTGAAGAACAGAGGCAATTTGGAAGTAGTACTCTTCTTGGTATGGTGAGCCATACCACCACCCCAGATGCTGCAGCTTGCAAGGCCACCAAGCCTTCTCCCAGCTTTTATGAGAGTGATGCAAGAACACATGGTCTAAGAAGATCTGGTTCATTTGAGGAAATGGGCTTCATCCTAACAGAGCTTAGGATTCCTGGTCCCCATCTACTGGATCACTTCATTGGTCTTCACCCTAGAAGGCAGTACTGGGGCAAGTGTGGGGTCCAGGAGGTTCGCCAACTTGTTCTGAGCAGTAGGTGTGTATCCATTGTGCTTGGGGATCTGCTGTCTGCAGGGAACGTGTGCCTCCTCCATCAAGAAAGCTGCCAGCATTCACAATTGGAACGTAAACAGGCCAGCAGTTTCTGATTAATGCAGATTGGACCTATTCAAACAGTCACAAAAAGAGATCTTTCCCCTGAAGGAATTTACATGTGAACAGAGACTAAGATGGGAAATAAACATTTCTATAATGATTAAAGTTAATTGGCTTGAAAGGATGCCTCTGAAAGAAATGCTTTCTGGTTTTAGTTCCAATCTATTTCGGGACAAGCCTGTTTTTCATAAGATTTGTAACTGCAAACAGATACTGCCCTTTCATTGGAAACAGATGGCAAAGGACATAATTAAAGAAGTATGCACTGGCATCTCAAATAACTGCTTTCAATTACAGCATTTCAAGAGTATTAAGGGGAGATATTTTAAACAAGACCACTGCAAAAATAGATTTTGTCATTAACTTTGAAATAATATTTGACTTAAGGCTGAAATTTCCATGTGCCAGGCCTGAATTTCACAGGCCGACACTGATTGGTGCAGAAGAAATTGAATCACTGTGGTCCTATCATTTAAGGGGAAAAAATCTTATTTTTTAATGTAGAAGAAAAAACTATTTTTTCTCTGGTAAGACTCATATTTTATCTTGAATTTCAGTTATATTTCACAATCTTGAGCAACTTGCATAGTGAAACCATTTCAATGCTGAGTCCAGTGTTATCTATAGGAGTTTGTGGGTTCAGCCAGTGTGTCTAGGCCTATACCCCATCATCAAGCATATTTGCCCACCTTATAGCCCAAATTGTTGAAAATACGCTAAATTCATGCTAAAATGGACATAAAAACACAAATTTGGCAGATTGTGTGTGCTAGTACATTTAAAAATCTGTGGTTTGCTTATTATAAATTTTCCTCACTAGATAATTTTAATGGACATTACAATAATTATAACATAGCTAAGTAGAACTGACAACTTACAAAATGCTTCACGTGCATTGTCCTATCATTTGAAATGATATTTACTTCACTTAATAAAATAGCCCTTGGGCATGTAACACATAACAGACACTACACCAAAAGATAAAAAAACAAGCAATACAAATGTTCATTTGCCTTCTTGAAGCTTATGATTACATGGTGGGTAGACACAAGTGAACAGACAATTACAATACAGGATTGTAAGTGCTGTGGAGAAAGGTAGTCAAGATAGCATAGAAAAACCAAACAAAGGCACTTAACCCATTATCTTAAACTTAGTTTTAGAAACAAAGAGTAAAGCAACCAACAACATATCATCTTAGCTACTGAAGCACGTATGCTTTCTGACAGACCACTGGTTCCCAGTAACTTTAGCAGAGGTCAGTCCAATTCACTGATTACTAACGACCATGAGTTGGTGAATAAGCATAGAATAAATTTACTTTTGATTACATATGTACACACTTACATAATTGTGTACATACACATATACAGAGATGGAGAGATAAAGACAGGACACACATGAGCTATACTACTTCTGACTCACTAAGCAAAGTTGTATGGACCTTCTAGTCATTATATGGAGTGCGATATGAGCACTTACCCACCTGCCTTTCACTAATAGTCTGCACACTTCGAAGAAAAATGTAGGGTTATGGTGAATAACAGGCAAGGACAGAA